GGTTTTTTTTTTTTGCAGCAGGGAAAGTGCTGCCTGCGCTGCCTTTGCACGAAGGTTTCGGGGTGGGCAGGCGCTCGGCCCCGCTCCCCTCCCTCTGCGCTAGAGCTCTGCGGCCAGCGCAGGGGAACGGCACCAACGGCAGCCAGCTCGTCCGCTCTGCTGAACACCCGCAGCGAGAGAGGACCCGGCATCAGAAGAGAACGCGGAAAACACCGAAAGCGGCAGCCAAGCAGGTTCACGTTTTCCAGACAGCTTCCCGAAACACCCCGCTGGTCCCACCACCACAGCACTTCCCCCACAGCAGGCTCCTCAAGCCCTCCTGCCCCGCTGCTCACCAGCACGAGCTCTCCCCTCCATGACAGCTCCAAGCCCCAGCCCCAGCCTGGCCTCGGGACCCCCACGAGACCGCAAAGGGACCCCAACGGGACCCTTCAGCAGAACGCCAACCTGCAGACCCCACGGTCACAACCCACTCGTGGCTCCTCGCTGCCCGGTGGGACCACAGGCACGCCGAGGGTCTACCTGCTCCCCCAGCCTCCAGCAGTGGGGTACGGGGGGGGCAGCACGAGCAGGAGTGGGGTGCTTGTGACGAGAACGGGGTAACCCTCGAGTTGTCTGATACCTCGTGGAAGACCATCTGATGCCTGTGGCCTCAAGCGGGCCGTGCCTGCATGATGACAGCTGCTACAGCTCCTCCGGGTGAGCAAAGGCCCCAGCTTTGAGGGCATCAATACCAATCTAGCGTGGCTGGTTTAATTTGGGGCTTAGCTCAAGGCTCAGCTCAGCTCAGGCGTTCGGCTGGCCAGGCTCAGCGCGGAGGTATTAAGCGGCTCCAAGCAGCAGCGTCACGGAAGGAGGAGCGAGGAGGGATGGGGAGAGATGGTCACACATCATGCAGTGCGGAGGGAGGAAACTCACGGATACTCCTGACGGAGGCCCGGGACGGCTTGTCGGATCGGAAAGAGGAGGAAGCTGCTTCCAAACAAAAAGAGACATGCTTAAAACAACGTGAACTGGAGAGAGGGAGAGGCAGGGCTCGAAGGGAGGATCTGTTAGGAGGAACAGCACGGCCCACATGCTGTGTTAGAAACCCGCCTGCCTCGCTGGGACCAGGGAGGGACGAATGCAGCATGATGGAGGACAGGGAGGGAGTGAGAGATGCTTCATTTTCCCTGTCCGCCACTGACTGGGCACTACAGGTGAGCAGCCCGGGCTGGAGACCCTGCTGGGATGTCCCCAAAGCCAATATAATGAAAGCTGCTGGGCCCCAAGAGAAAACAGCCCGAGTCTAGAGGCATTTCTGGCATTTTTCAGAGCCACCGGCTCGCTCAGGCACATCCAGCGTCCCAGAAACATCGTTTCCAGGCAGAGTAGTTCCCCTCCATCCTCAGGACGCTGCTCCGGAGGCACTTGTGCGTGCACACACACACACACACACACACACGGGACATCTTACCCGAGACTTTGGGGGTAGGATTGCAAGAGAACCCCCCGTTAGACTGGTCAGTCTCTCCAAAGTCGTATGTCTCCCTGGGTTTGGGCTTGTACTCCCTCTTGGGACGCGAGGAGGCCTCCCTCATTCTGGAAGGAGGAAAAGAAACGTGGATAAAATGAAATATGAAAGAGAATACAGTGAGATCAACGTGGTATTTATCCTCCTCGGTGGCCAGGCAGGGGAGCGCACGGGTTTGCAGACAAGAATCTGCACAGCCCTCTGTGCTGGGGGTTGTGAAGCTGGATCTCGTCCAGGGTTTGGGCCCTGGCCCTCAGGCTTTGCTGCGGAGGTGTCTCGGGCACTTCAGGCCAGCAGAGGACACTCGCGCTGCAGCCTGGAAGCTCAGGCTTGGCAGGATCCTCCCAGCTCCTCCGAACTCCAACCAAGCGCACCCACTCAGCAGTTTCTTTTAGGAGGAAAGAGCAGCATCGCCAAACCGCCCCCAGAAGCGGAGACGCTGCCCTGGCTCTGTCCAAGCCACCTTGCGCCAGGCTGAAGAAGGCATCTCCCGGCTCCGCAGGGAAGCCCCAGACGTAACGAAGCCACCTCTCCTTCCTTGGCCAGGGGCTGCGGAGATGCTTGCTCAGGTGTGACAGAGCAGCAGGAAGAACGACCGTGCAAGTCACGGCAGTCACGCGAACCAGCTTGCTCGGTATTTCGACAGCACCTCTGTGTTTCTTGGCACCCCCAGCAGCAACGGCACGTGGCCCGGGGCAGCTGAGGAGGTCAAGCACTCGAGGAGGGACAGGGAGAGCAGCAAGACCAGGCAGCTCTGTGGCTCTCCCGGCTCCTGCATGCCCGTCACCCATCTGCCTTTCACCAACTCACGTGGCTCAAAACCCCAGAACACGCGCGGCAGCGTCACATCTGCGGCAGGGTCTCCCCGGAGACTGCCCCGGGAAGAGAAGGGAGAGATGGAAAACGCGGGCTCTGGCAGAGGGTGCCTGCCTTCAAGGTGCTGTAGGTGCTCCTCCACTGCCCCGTGGCCATCACATCAGCCCCACCATGCTGCATTCACTTCCCGGTCTTCAGAGCAACTGGGAGCCCTTGGCACGGACCTTTCCAGGCCACAGCCACAGCCAACGTGCAGGTACCCTCCTTAGCCACAACCAAAGCTAATGGCACAGAGACTCCAGGCTAGGCAGACCCAGGTGACACAGGGTGACAAGCATGGCCAGCTCATGACATCTGAGCTGTCTGCTCCAACAGCACGATCCAGCCCGACTCTGGGTCTGGCCAAACGGCCCTGCTTGGGGACACTCCCATGCTCAACGCCCACAGTGTAAGGAGCTGCGAGCCCCGGCAGGAAGGGGGTTTCACCTCTCTTCCCCACCCCTGCCAAACTCAAGCCTGCTGTAGGTGACCCTGCTTCAGCAGGGGGTTGGACTATCTAGACCCACAGAGGTCCCTTCCAACCCCGACCATTCTGTGACTCTGTGATTCTACCCCAGGCTCCCCGGGAGCAGCGCACCCCGGTTCGGGCAGGGCTCAGCCCAGCAGAGAGCAGTCGCCCACGGCGCGAGCACAGAGGCTTCGTTTCAGAACGTGCCCGTCACTGAAAGAGGGTTGTGCAGCTGGCATCGCTCCCTCCAACCTGGAGAAGGGCTGGATCGAAGCTCCAGTGACTCCAAGAAGCGGCTTTAACAGCAGGGGAGAGATTTAGAGGGAGAGTCGGGTATTTACAGCCAAGTACCGCAGGGACAGCTCGTGGCTGTGAAAACGGAGCGTGCCTCCAGCACCCTGGGACTCACCTGCGTTTGAGTTTCTCCGCAAGCTCGTCCAGGATCTGCACTGCCTGCCTGTGGTAGTCCAGCTGGGCATCCACCAAGGCTGAGAGCTGGCTCACCTGCTCAATCTGCAAGAATCACACCGAGGTGGGATGAACGGCTCTCCCCAGCTCACATGAGACTCCCTTGTTGGATGTGAGGACCAGACTGGGGAACGTGTATGAAGGGCAACTTCCCCGGGGAGATAAGGAGAAGGTTTGGGATTGCAGACACCAGAGGTCAGGTGCTGGCTGAGACTCAGCAGGACAGAGGACTCCTCCTACCACTCTCTGGGCTTCACTAGCTGTTCAGTTCCTTCCCAAGTCAGCCGCGTTACCCACCCAAACTCAGCCCCAGCAGCACGCTGAGGAGT